TGAAAATCACTGTAAATGCAATAACTACAAATGCGTATGATACAGTTGGGTTGTATTGGTGATTCCAATGGCATGAGTGGCATAGCTGCCACTGCCAAAGTTTTGGTAAAATTCCAAACAAAACAATATATATTCTTCCTTCAATGAACACAATAGCTGCATTCCTGGAAAATTCAGGATATATTAAAAACATACTGTAAGTATTTGCAGTTTAAATGTAAAATGGAGTTGTGTCTAGGTTGAGATGATTATAATCAGGTTTTTCATCTATAAGAATGTCTAGATTGATATTTGAAAGTTATGTGGGAAGCAGAATAATAACTTTTCATTGTATGATCTTGTCCCTCTAATTACAGCATGTCTAATATCCCTGGCTCCTACATACTAAATACCAATAGCTCTTTCCTATCGCTGTGACAACCAGAAAATGGCTCCACGAATACCCAAAATGCCCACTAGGGGCAGTGTCACCTTGTTCAGTACTACTGGTCTATATAATCTGTTCCCTTCTTGCCAATCTTTTACAGCTGTTTTTAGTTTGGTTCTTCAACATCATGTGGCCCTCCCAACTTGTCTCCCTGTCCTGTTTTCTCTGCCTATAATTCACCCCTACAACAGACAGCAAAGATGATCTTTATAATATGCTCATCTGATCACGTCATTCCTTTGCTGAACATCTTCAGAGGCTCCCAGGCACTACAGGATAAAGCCAAACTTTTTAGGATAGAGGGCAGTAATCTGATCCCACCATATTTCAAATTTGACCTTGTACCACTTCCTCCAATGGGTGTTGTGCTCTTTAACCATGTGGTCCCTAGAATGGAACTAGTTCTCTAAGTCTTTTCACTAACTTGCCGATCTGTCTGGCAAGTTCTTAATAATTTAAAATGCAATCAAGCATTACTTACTCAATGAAACCTTCTCCAGACAATTTCCTCACTCCTCCCTTGACTCTTGCACTTACCATATGGTTTGTAACTGTAAGATAGTCTGCCTCCCTCACTAGACTGTGAATTCTCTGATGGCAGGAATTTTTATCCTATTTATTTTTGTATCCCAAGAACATCAAATAGATAAAAGGCAAATGGTAAGGTCTCAAAAACTTAAACACTTAGTTGAATGACTGTAATGTTAGCTATTTAGAGAGTTGTGCAGATTACCATATAATTGTTTCCATTTACCTTTTAATATTTTCTCATCCTTGAAGAATCACATATTTCCATCCGGTTTAATCTCTCCAGTCTATTACAACCTTTTAGCTTTGTTCTTTCTTTAGTATTTATTAACTCTCCAATAAATTTTGAAATATCTTTGCTATATATTTCTTTTACTTGTTCCCCTCCATTGTACTGGCTCATGAAACAAATATTTCATGAGTTTATATTTTATACTTTACTTAGTTTATATATCAGACAAAAAAGTCCATTTCTTTCTAAAGTGATTTGAAATCAGCTCATGAAAACTTTTTCAATGATTAATAATTTTTAAAAATTATTTTTCCATGAATGTATATATGTGTATGTATTTTCTTTTTTTCCGAATTGGTCCTAACGTTGATTTTTCTGGTTTTAAGTGTTGGTTCATGTCTTTATGACATTTGTGTATGATGTTTACCAATACTTCATTTTTTAAAGATATTTTTCAAAGTGTTCCTCTTCATCAATTCATTTGCTAATTTAAGGCAGAGACCAAAATTAATGAGTCTTAAATAATGCTGATGTTTGTCCATGCCAGGCCACATGGCTCTCTCTGCTAGTTACCATGAGGGTGGCTGTAATAACTCATCTTATTTTAATATGTACATAATTCCTTGCCTTCCCAAGATTTAGCAGCAATATTTCAATAATTTATTAATGACTTTCCTTTGGGTCATTAGAAGGAAAATGGTTCTAGTAGAAAAAATCCACTAAATAAATGATAGTGCAGAGACATTTTCCTGAAGGCTACAAAGTGACCCATTGAAATACATTAAATTGATTCTCCACCATCAGGACATTCAGATCTTTCCTTCGTTTCATTTTGAGATGGAAGAATAAATGAGGGAAAATATGCTTTGAAATCCTCTGTCCTGCTTTAGAGCATGTAAATAGCATCATGCACAAAAAATTTTCAAGCTGTCAAGAGTAAGGCAAGTATGATAATTTAGGATAATTAAATGCTGACAACAATCAAAATAGAACTAATCCTTGTAAGCTTTTCTCACTTGAGGGAAAGTTTAAAAAGTAGTTACTGATCTAAATGTCTCTCAGTAGGACAGTTAAAAAATGTGATATAACAATCTACATATTGAATATTTCACAGTCTTTAAAAAAGAAGAAAGCATACCTGCATGGACATGAAAGACTATATGGTTATTTTAAAATAAGAAAAGTTATATGTAATATATATACTATGATCTCATTCATACCAAAAATAGTAGAAACAGAAGTAAATATATACACAAAGAAAGAGGAGATTGAAAAGATACGCACACACCAAACTGTACACAATGTTCTGCATTGAAAGCTTTTGTTTCTGTCTGTTTCTTCTACCAGGTGATGAGCTTCTTTGCTGCCAAATCAAATAAAGGATGCCAGGTAATTTAGGATTTCAAGTAAACAATGAATTATTTTAGTATAAGTACATCCTAAATATTGCACAGGACATATTTATACTAAAAATGATTTATTGTTTATCTGAAATTCAAATTTAACTGAGTATCCTGAATTTTTATTTGCTATATGTGGCAATATTACTCATGGAGACCATAAACTACTCATCCTTGTACTCCTATCACTAACAGTTACAGAGGTCTAGTGGGTGCACAATAAATGGTAAGAGGGAGAGTAATTAAGGAGAGTACAATAACAACAGGCAATTTTGCTAAGTGTGTTACATATATTAACTCTCATGGAAATGTCCTAAAGTTTTATTAGTGTTCCTATTTTACAGATTAAGAAACAGAGGTATATAGAAGTTACACAGTAAGTGGTGGAGCTAGAAATGACCCAAGTTTCTGGTCCTGATTCAGTAGCCATAACCAACTGCCAGCTGCAGGGAGTTGGAGGAAGAAAAGAAGGGGAAAGAGAACCAGAGGTGAGGCTTTGGTATACAAGAGTAGGATTTTACACAAACTCTTTAGCCTTGCCTAGATGCAGAATGTGGAATATATATGAAAGGCAGACAGGTCTGGGCCTGGTCCCCACCTCCACCATTCATTTGAAAAAGTTACAGTAGTAACCCCTTATCTGCAGTTTCACTTTCCGAGGTTTCAGTTATTTGCAGTCAACTCCGGTCACAAAATACTAAATAGAAAAGTCCAGAAATGAACAATTCATAGGTTTTAAATTGCATACTTGTTCTGCATGATAAAATCTTAACACTGCCCCAGCCGAGAACCATCTTTTTGTCCAGTGTAGCCATGCTGCATATACTACCCACTTGGAATAGAACTTAATAGTCATCTTGGTTATCAGGTTGACTGTCATGGCATCACAATGATTGTGTTTAAGGAACCCTTATTTGACTTAATAATGGCCTTAAAGTCCAAGAGTAGGGATATCCAAAGAGAAGATATGCCATAAAATGTTTCCTTTAGGTGAAGAGGTGAGTACAGTACAGTAAGATATTTTGAGACCACATTCACATAACTTTTATGAGAGTATATTGTTATAATTTTTCTATTTCATTATTGTTAATCTTACTGTATCTAATTTATAAATTAAACTTTATCATAGGTATGTATATAGAGGAAAAAACATAGATTATATAGGTTTCAGTACTATCCACAGTTTAAGGCATTTACTGAGGGTCTTGGAATGTGTCCTCCACAGATAAGGGGGGACTATAGCACCTAATTTATATTTGACTCATAATTCTCGTCTATAAAACTGGAGTGAGAGGACCTACCTGAATACTGATGTGCAGAGTAAATGATATAATTTCTGTAAAGTAATCAGCACAGGGGTTGGCAAGGAAAAGGCACTCACTCAGTCAATACTAGTTATTATTAGCTCAGAGACCCAGTTTTTGTTTTGTTTTGTTTTGTTGTAAACCGGAAAAACAGTATCAGTAAGAAGACAATAATACTAATGGTATCTACATTGGCAAGTTGGTTTGAGGATCAGAGGAGAATATATATAATCTTTCCAAATTCTAAAGTGCTTCTTATTCTTAATGGAGCAGTTGCTCTTTGCATCACGACCAGAATTAATATGCTGGAGCATTACTACATTTTTTCACCCATGAGTAATTAATTTTGTTTTAAAAATTACCAGAGTAAAATTGACTCTTTTTCGGTGTGCATATATCTAAGAATTTTAACTTGTGTATAGATTTATGTAACTACCACCACAGTCACAGCTTTTGAGATTCTTTTTTCAAAGCGTTTCACATTCATATTGCAAAACACTTTTAAAAATAAGAAAAAGGGATTTAGATAAATGTGCTGAAGATGCAAATTAGTGAAACTGGCTTTTTTGCTCAAATCCCTGCAATCTCCAACCCCTTCAGGCCCTGGACCATTTTTGCTGTTGGCTCTGCAGGCTATCTCCTGCCACAAAAGTAATCAGAAATGGACTTGAGAGTTAGGGCCTTTCTTCACACTAAGCCCACGAGTCACAGACACAAACTTCAGCATTCCTTACTTGATCCTTTTATTACCAAATCTTAATTTCCCTAACTCTCTCTAATTGCGATTTCTCTCCAAAACGAAGAAGCCTGGAATAACCAGTACCTTCTCACCCTTTCAGAGAAATTATTTGATTGGGACAGAGGGAATACAGAGTTACTGAGAGAGCAAGGATAGGGCTTTCAGGACCCCAGACCTCTCCATTATAACAGATCCTTCAATCTGTCCCTTTCCCAACTCCATCCTCTCCACCTCCCCTGCCTGCGGGGTGCCTCCTAGGGCGTTAGACTTTAGAGCCAAGCATCTTCTCTCCATCCCAACCCCCCCGCCCCCCACCCCGTAAACTCTCCCAGTTTAAGTGACATGCACAGACACACTGTTGCCACATCTGGTGAGGAGGGCGGGTCCACTTTCCGGGTGACTCATGTCGTTACTATTTGTCTTTTGTTTCTAGGATGCTTTGGCTGCAATTTTCTTCCCTTTGTTTTTAATTTGGGAGGAGAAAAAGCTAATGAATCAAGAATGAATCTTCTCTCCACTAACCTTTTCTTTTCTTTCTTAAAGTTGGTTCTCTCTTCTCACAAGTTCCATAACTGTTAAGATGTGCGGGGGCGGGACAGGTGGGGACGCACTCTTTACACCTAAATCTGAAGTTGGCGCCTAAGGTATCACTTTGATGGTAAGACTTTTTGAAGCTTTCTTGCAGCTTGCTGGGCGTTTTGCTGCTGCCACTGGACAGTTTCAGCTCTTTTCTTTATGTTGTTGCTTCGCGCTGCTGTCCCGCCTAAATTTATCTCGTTACTCTCCTAAGTGTGAATCGGGGTGAATTCCACGAGATTCACTAGCGGATTTGTTCCTGTCCAAGGTAAATACAGTATGCAAAATGAGGAACCACCAAAAGATGCCGGGGAGGGGGAGAGAGGGATTCCCTCACCTTTTCCGGCACATTCCTCGTCAATTTCCACCAGGAGGAGGCGCGCAGCGCTGATCCCCTCCAGTCTCCTTTCTCAAATCTCCCTGCGGAGGGCTGTCAAGGTTGGCCGCGCGGCAGAAGTCCCTCTGGCCGGCCTAACCCTCCCCTGCCCCCAGGTTGGTTTTTCCCAGCTGCGGAGGTTGGGCCAGGGGCTGGGGTACTAGGAGAGTCAGCGACCGCCGCGCGGAGCTGGAAAGTCGCCGCGACTCCGGTGGGACTCGGAGTTGTCTCTGGAGGTGGCGGGCGCGGAGGTGAGCGGTTGGGAGCTAGCGGCGCAGGCGAGAATCGGGAGGCGGCGCCGGGGCCCCTCCCATCCTCTGGCGGGAGAGTAACCTAGGTCCCGGGTTTCACCGCTGCTTTGTTCGCGGCCTCTTCCCTCCCATTTGGAGATGACTGGAACCCCCTCTGGGATCCGAGGAGCAGGCGAAGGCTCGGGCTGGGGTGGGGGTGGGGTGTCATCTGCTGTAGGGTCCTTTGCTTTCTGTTAATCCGAGAGGGTACAAAAAGACATGAGAAGACGCTTGTAACCTGAAACTTCCCTCTCATCCATCTGGACCTGGAGGAGAGGTCCGGGCGGGGGCGCAGACCCGGAAGGCTGGTCGTCAGCGGAGGCGGTGAGGGAAGGAGCTGGGAGAGTGAGAAGTTTGGTCGGGAAGGCGCTGGGGATTAAGCAATAAGTTAGACGCGGGGGACGAGTCTGATAACGAAAGGAGGGCGGAAGGTTGGAGAGGTACATATAGTGTGGGCCAAGGCGGAAGGAAGATTGCGCTCCTGTCTTGGGGCGCGCGCCTCTCTCCCGGGTAAGGATGTGCGTGGGACTGGGCGCGGGGGGGCGGGGGTAGGGTTGAGGGAGCGATGCCCGAACGGGCTTTCGGAGGGAGATCTTGGGGACTGAGTGCGGACGACTTGGCTTGGCTAGGCCGGTTTCCGTACTCGGGGAGCTGCGGCCGCTGCCGCTCCTCACGGTTCTCTCCCGCTTGTCCCAGGTCCTGCAGCGGATCCAGCGCAAGGCGCCAACAAAAGAGGCGAGGAGGTGGCAACCCGGGGGCGGCGGCAGGAAGAGGAGCGGGAGTTGAGTGTCCACACCCGCTGTGCGTACTTTCTAGAGGGAAGGGGCGGGGGAATCGGCCCTGGGAGGAGGACATCCGGTGGTCAAGGGGTTAGCCAAGTTCTGGTTGCTGAGCCCTCCCACGAGAGGAAAGTTTTCTCTAGACACCTCCGGCCGACCCGCGCTCTCCGGGCCCAGCTCCCGAGCCTTCGGAGCGGGCTCTGTCCCAGCCCAGCTCCGGGGAGACCCGTGCCGTGATGCCTGGGGGGTGCTCCTGGGGCCCCGCCGCCGGGGACGCTCGGCTGTGGCTGGCGGTGGTCCTCCTGGGCTGGGTCACCTCGTCCTCACTCACCTCCTCGGCGACGTCCTCCACCTCCTCCGCGCAGTTCCTGGCCTCCGCGGTGTCCGCACAGCCCCCGCTGCCAGGCCAGTGCCCCCCGCCATGCGAGTGCTCCGAGGCGGCGCGCACCGTCAAGTGCGTTAACCGCAACCTGACCGAGGTGCCAGCGGACTTGCCCCCTTATGTGCGCAACCTCTTCCTCACCGGCGATCAGCTGGCGGTGCTCCCTGCCGGCGCCTTCGCCCGCAGACCGCCGCTGGACGAGCTGACCGCGCTCAACCTCAGCGGCAGCCGCCTAAAGGAGGTGCACGCTGGCGCCTTCGAGCAACTGCCCAGCTTGCGCCAGCTCGACCTTAGCCACAACCCGCTGGACGACCTCAGCCCCTTCGCTTTCTCGGGCAGAAACGCCAGCGCCTCTGCCCCCAGCCCTCTGGTGGAACTGTTCCTGAACCACATCCTGCCTCCTGAGTTCGATCGAGAGAACCGTAGCTTCGAAGGTATGGTGGCAGCGGCCCTGCGAGCTGGCCAGGCTCTGCGCGGGCTCCACCGCCTGGAGCTGACCAGCAACCACTTGCTCTATCTGCCCCGCGACGTACTGGCACAAATGCCGGCCCTTAGGCACCTGGACCTGCGTAACAACTCGTTGGTGAGCCTGACTTATGTGTCCTTCCGCAACCTGACACACCTAGAAAGCCTCCACCTGGAGGACAACTCCCTCAAGGTCCTTCATAACGGCACCCTGGCAGAGTTGCAGGGCCTGCCCCAAGTCAGGGTCTTTCTGGACAACAATCCCTGGGTATGCGACTGCCACATGGTGGACATGGTGGCCTGGCTCAAGGAGACAGAGGTCGTGCAGGGCAAAGCTAGGCTCACCTGTGCATTCCCTGAAAAAATGAGGAATCGGGTCCTCTTGGAACTCAACAGCTCAGACCTGGACTGTGATCCTATCCTCCCTCCATCCCTGCAGACTTCTTATGTCTTCCTAGGTATTGTTTTAGCCCTGATAGGCGCGATTTTCCTACTGGTTTTGTATTTGAACCGCAAGGGGATAAAAAAGTGGATGCATAACATCAGAGATGCCTGCAGGGATCACATGGAAGGGTATCATTACAGATATGAAATCAATGCGGACCCCAGGTTAACAAACCTCAGTTCTAATTCGGATGTCTGAGAGACAATCGAGGACAAAACAAGGACAGCTATGCATGAGATGTAGACTTAAGCTTTATCTCATCCTATGCTTGCTCCATCTCCACTATCCACTATAGACACCACTGACCTTGACTGAAAGCAGTGAAGGGACTTTCCTTCCTTGTCATGTAAAGTTTTTTGGTGTGTTCTATTACTGTAAGATGATAAACAATTGCATAGTCTTTTACCTTCTTCCTTTTCTTGGAACTCCTTAATACAGGTGGAGGGATTTTTCAAGTTTCAGCATGAACATGGACTCCTGGCTGTCTGTTTCTCTTAGCACACACAGTTCAAGGTGTAGCAAGTGTACCCACACAGACAGCATTCAACAAAAGCTGCCTCAACTTTTTTGAGAAAAATACTCTATTCTTAAGTATCAGTTTTATTCTCATGTACCTAAATTGTGGAGAAAATGATTGCATTCCATAAACTGCCTGCAGACCTTAGCAAGCTCTTCAAAGTAACTCCATAGTACACTGGAGCACCTGCATCCGAGAGCATGCTTACATTTTACTGTTCTGCATATTACAAAAAAATAACTTGCAACTTCAGATAACTTCTTTGACTAAGTAAATTACATTTTTGACTGCAGTTTATATGAAACTATATGGAAGGTTTTTTTATAAACTGCATCGAGATCCAAAAGGCTAAATTGTTTTAAAAGAAATCAATAAAGATTCCTAAAAGAATTACAGTTGTGTTCAAGTTTGATATTTGAAAAAAGGATGAGGGACAATGATATTGAAGGGTCTTGGTTCCAGTGATAATTAAGGTATTAGTTATAGCTGAGCATGAAACTGGAACAATATCATATAAATAGACTTCAGAGATAATTTCGAGATGGTGGATCCTTTCAGGATTTAGAAATTTTGAATATTTATGTGAATAGACTTCTTGTGGTCCCAAAGTTAATGCTATTCAAGAAACAATTTTGTGAGAGCATTACAAAGTTGGTAAGAGGGAAGAATTCTATATGATAAACAGTTCACAGTTTGGGGCTTTTTCTAGACTAAGTTTTTAGGATAGAACAAAATTATTTACTTAAACTCTCCATATGAAATTGTTCTATAGGTGTTTAGAGTATACAACAAATATGGTGCAAATAAATGTATGAAAATTAAGTGTCTTAAAGGTAGAATATACTAAAAGATTTTAAAATATAAAGTTTTCCTAAGATCATAATACAAATTGAAACAGACTTTCTTGAGAATATTTTTTTTAAAAAAATGGAACATACACAGTGGATAGTTTATCAGAGACCCTGCTAATATGTTTAAAAAATTGTAATGATGGGGTAGGAGTTTGAGGAAATAACCGGAGATAAATGTATGTGTTCATAAACAAGTGTCTCGACTAATCATAGTTTCTTATGTTTAGTTCAGTATTTATAAATATGAGGATATTTTGATTTAGATAAGCTATATGTTGGTATATACACCTTTGTGAGGAATAAAATCCCATTTAGGTTTAAATAAAAGCAATCGGTTAATCAATTGATATTCTCTGAGTTAAATTCAGAAGTGTTCAAAATAGGGCTAAAATCATGATATCTGTTCTTTCTGTAGACTACACAGTCAGAATATGAATTTTAACTATATTAACTTTCATAAGGTTTATTTTATAAAATGTAACATTTGTTATTTATGGTTATACTTCAGATCCTATGAAAAAGTTAAATATATGGTACTTAACATTCCGTTAAACGTTTTAAGTGTTCATCAGGAATTCATAAACTGGCTGCTTGCCATTATTTCCAAAGAATGATAAAGATATGAGCGTGCCAAAAATAGTGAAAACATATAATAAGAGCACACACATGTTAGGAATAAACTGCTGATGGACTTTAGTAAGTCTGCTGATATTGTAGAAAACAAATTGTAATATTTGTAGTCGCTATTCAGAAGAATTATTTTTCCATCATGTGATAATCTAACAGTTAAAAACTGAGCTTTATGCTAGATCCAGGAAAGCAGTAGTTTCATTAGTCTAGCTTTTCTCATCATCAACTCACTGAAGCAGAATCTGATGAAGTGAAGCCAAGTTTTCATCTGTTAGGTGGATGGCTTTTTTTAAGTTATAATTTCTTGCTTCTTTTTCATTCCCTTGCTTCTTTCTCTGTATGAACTTCCGAATATGCCACTGCTCTCTTTTCTATCATATCACTCCTTGCTATTTTCTAGTACATGGCAATAGAACATTCTTAAGGTAAAAAATATTACTGTTTGAAAACAATTGGTATTGTGCAGTCATAATACTCTAAGTCTATAAGCTTATAAGGCATTTTGAGTTCCTTGGAAGATAGGAGCTATATAAACCCAGTAAGTACAAGGGAATATAAGAAAAATGAAATTAAAAGTATCATTTTAAGTGTACTTGTATTAAGCACTGTTCTTTAGTACCATTATGCATTATTGATCCTAGAAACCTACAAGTAATCCATTTTAAAAAATTTATTTTGGTTGATAATACACTATTACTCAGCTTAGCAAAGGTTTCAGAGAAAACACCATTTATCCTTTACAAGTTTCATCTGAAGAAAGTTAGAAGAATATAGGTTTCCCCCGCCATCTGAAAGTAGAGTATTCTAATGAAAACTTCTGAAGGCTGAAATGATGTAAAGTGAAGAAGCAATTACCATTAGTTTAAAAGCAAAAATCTTCTTCAAATTTCTTTTGGTTAGTGGAAAACAGGTACTAAAGCTGGTCTTTTGTAAAAGTCAAGTGGCCTAACTCAAACTTTCAAAAAGCATGGAATACCTGTACTTAAAAACTTAAGCACTTGATAAATCTTTCAATTTAAAAAGCTATTAACATGTCCAAAAAATCTTAACTTAGTGGCAAGATTTTAGGATAATATGGCTATTTGCCCCTGGATTGTAAAACTCCACTTTCAATGTAACCATTCAGTTTGCAGCATTTAATATATGTATTGACAGTTTTGCTGTCTCATGTAATTATGGTGACCTATAAGGCACATTTGTTATCTTATAGCCGATAGGTTTTTCTTACAAAATAAGTAGACTTTGAAGCGTATTTGCTAAAATTTTTTAAAGAAAAAGGAGCCACAAAAATTGATACTATCAATAAAAGACAAGATTTTTTTTTCAAAGGCAAAGAAAGTCTTCATGGAAATAAATGAGCAAATCACAAATGGTAAATCCTTTTAAAATATCTTGAATGGCAGCAAATGTGGATCATGCACACCTTAATATTTAAATAGAAATAACTTACATCTTTGTTTTCTGTCTGTTTAATTAAAGTGGATGTAAAAAAGAAAGGTCCAAATGAACTGATTGTTTCCTTAGGATTCTGTTTTCTTCTGTCCCTTCTGGTCTAATGTTCCAATACTGTGCTTAACATTCTTGAGGACATTAGAGGCTTTACAGCTCTAGTTTGGGGCTCCTTTGTATCATTTCTATTTTCCATTTAAAATCTTCCCTAAAGTCTACACAAAAAGACACCATGAGGATGTACAAGGTTAAAAACAGTTAGATATATGCTTTATTCCTGCCCCCAAATCCATTAAATTATCCAGTTTTCAGAGAGCAGCATCATAAAGTGAAGACAAATATTTATTAGATGAGATTCACGTTTCACTTCTACACTTGTGCAAGGATTTTTCACAGTAAAGGAGAGGGAAAGAAGGAAATTATATTTCTAGTAATATATGAAAAATACTTTGACAATGTCTTTAAACTCTTTCAGTAAAACTGTAATTCTACACTTGAAATAATTAGTTTAAGAAAATATATTCTGTATTGTGCAGGCGATCTTGTCTTCTAAATGGAGAAAAACAGCTCTTGGAGGATGTTTTGTACAGCTATTTTTCTGTTCTTATCCTTAGAAACATTTGACTCAAAAATGCAGGCTGCTTTTATTTTGTATTTTATCTTAAAACATTTTAGCAGCTCTAAATCTTTAGTGTCATGGGTTAAAAATATCTATATTTAAAAAAATATTTAATATACGATTCATATAATTTTTACAAAAAAACCACGAATTCTTAGTATTTCAAAATTGGAAGGGCTCTTAGATGTGTCAAGCCCAGTTTCCCATTCTACAAATGAAGAAATTGTTAATTGTAACATATCATATATAACGACAACCAGGACTAGATCTCAGGATTCCAGACTCCGCCTCTAGTGCTCTTTCTTTTCCACATGATGGCATTATTAATAACCTACCTTGAGACCTTTGAAATTCCCATGTTTAATAAAAAGAGGCAATTGCCATGGTTTTGTTTTTGCTTTGCTCTCATTCAGTTTCAGTTGGCTCTAAATTTTATAGTATGCTTCAGATCCCTGAATATGCTTAAATATGTTTGAAATGACTTTGTCATAGCAATCTTATTATGAAGCTCCTCTGAGTCTATAATATGATAGAAAATATTTTGGTAGTTTAATGGTGATAATTCTTTTGAAAAGAAAAATAAAACTCTGGAAAGTTGTGCTAGCTTGTGTAATTCTATCTTAAAAAATGAGTTAGCTCAGCTGGTGAGAACACTAAACAAATGAGACCAAGTTCATGGCCACAAAGTCAGTCATTCCGTCACCAGGTGAGACAGTCAGCTTTGCATGCTCTGCTCTGCCCTCTAAGGCCACACCCACTCCAGGTGCATTGCTATAACCCATCCTCTGAGGGCCTAGACCAAACGGAATCTAAATCAATGCAAAACTATTATCACTCTGGAAAACCAGTGGACTTACCAGCCAAACCTTGGCAGCACAGCTGCTGATGGGCCCGTTCACTTTCTTTACATATATGTAGGACCAAACATGGCAGTCTCTATATCCTCAAATTATAGTATGTATGCCACAGATCACAAAAGTTTTCTCATTTATGTGAATTTTGAGAAAAACCTATGATCAGTATCTTTTAATGTATTACACAGGAAATTAGGTTTGCTTTGCTACTTGAAAATGTGGTTTAAGATTAAAGATAATGATTACTATATCACAAACTTGTATGTAAATGTTCATAAGAACAGGAATGCAGTTTATGTTTAGCTGACATTTTATGATAATAGGGGTTATTTGTGGTTCACAGTTTAATTGTAAGGATACAATTGTTTTCAAGGAAGCAAAAGCTTAAAATATGGCCAGCTATAATAGTTTTTTTGACAAGCAAATATTTAATAATATGTTTTAAAGAACCTGAGGATGCCATCAAGATAGGCTTATTTTAAAATAGAAATTTATAGATTTCCCTACTCCCTTACTCCCATCCCCACAATCTTATTTCTACTACTTTTTGTTTTTTTCCCCCAAAGAGAACCACGATACATAACATTTCAAGGTGACTGCTTGCACACTGGAGAATTAGACTGACTAAAATATTAGGTGGGTCAGTGTACAAATATACATTTCTCTACATGAAGCAGTTTCTCTCAGTTTTACAATACAGTTAGCCAACTGTTAGAAGACTCTATCTTTCAATTAGACACGTTCTGTGGTTATTCTTACAGATCATGGAAAACACAGCTATAAAACTTTTAAAAGACATTTTAAAATTAACTCATGTTTCTTGTAGATTATTTAAAAACACAGGGTTGGGTGGACACCATGAATAGTCTTACCGCTAAGGAAAAAGTGCCTTAATATTGAGATAAACCACCATCTGTTTAAATCACATTGTATCTTGCCTTTTCACTTACAATGCTGAGAACATTCTCCAGTATCATTAAAAACTTTTAATATCTGGTTTTAAAGTACTGCAGACAATCACATATTTTACACATATAGGGTGTTTCTTACAATTTTACCTAATGTTCTAATACCTGTGTTTCTGTATCTCTCATTTTCTCCTTAAAGTAGATCTTTGAAGGAGAATTACTGCATCAGAGGGTATAATCTATTTTCTAACCTCTATTTAAATTAGGAATATTAAATGTACATCATCAGTTAACTATATGTTTTAGGAGTCTCACATCATACTTTTTACAGAGTACTGAATAGTCTGTGGACAGGATCATGAACAGAAAGAAACTTTGATTAAGTTGCTAATTTACTTGTCACTGTTTTTAATTCACAGATGTCTACGCATTGTTAAAATAACAAAATTAGAGGATAGCTAACCCCATAACTCAGGAGGGAGGGAGAGAAACAGAGAGAAGTGGGGAGAGAGAGTCAGACTCAATTATGATTCACCACTGATGTTTGATTGATGACTGAAATGTACTACGTCTCATTTAATTGATTTTGAACTTGTGTAAGTAAGCCAGTATGGCTCCCTTTGAGGCTTATAGCATGTGGCCATAAAGGGAGGTGAAAGTTCCATTGAATGCCTTATTCAAGAGTCTGTGGTATGTATGTTGAGGAGTGAAATGCATGCCTTGGTTACCATCAATAATGTCTGGAATTCTGAAGAGGTTAAGAAGTGTCTTGGTGAGGCTTTTTATTTTGGCTTTAGTATGGGCAGACCTGTGTGACCTTGATTCATATTTTGGGTATCTGCGAGGCAAGAAATCCCCAGTTTTTTAGCCAAAAGAAGGTGACC